ATGCAGGCCGGCCCCTATCACCAGGAAACTTCCAATGAACGAAGAAGACTGTGTTGACAGGCTGATCGTCGCCCGCGTTGCCACTGTTTTCCTCCAGACCTTTCTGCGCAGGAGGGGCAGTGCCTGCGATGTTGCCAAACGCAAGGCTGAGCTCACCATTCTCCCCAACTGTGCGACTTTCAATGGCTTTGGATCTCTCCTGCAAAGCTTTGCCTGAAAGCAAACATTCTTCAAACCAACGGTGAAATGGCACTGACAGATTTGAAATTGAATTCTCACCTGTCACACTCTTTGCCGAAGCCGAAGCCTCAGCCGCAAGTTGAGCGGCCTCTGCTTCAGCAAGTTGAGATTGACCTTCCACCAGCACCACTTGAGATTCTAGTTGTTCCGCAGAAAAGTTGCCCAGCAACCCTTCATGGTTCAACATGACCTCCTCAGCCGCTTCCTCAGGAGGCAGCCCTGCTGCAACCTGCCTGGCAATTGCTCGTTGAATGTTGCTCTCCAGCAAGGGTGAACTTGAGTCAGCGCGTGACAGCTGACTGCAAGCTTTTTGAAGCATGTCTTGCTCTCGCGTTTCCATGTCGTCCAAACCAGACAGCCTTGACATTTCCTCTTTGTACTCCTCCTCACCCATTTCCACCGCGTCTTGGTCTGACGGGTTTTCGGCAGGGCCAAAAGCTTCTTGAACCAAGATCTCTGCAGCCTTTGCCAACTTAGCCTGCTCCTGCTCTGGCTTTCTAGCACTTGGGCGGCTTGCACTGCTTTTTCTTTCAAGATCTGTAGAAGCCTTCCGATTCTCATCATCACCAATATCACCTTTGTTTGCCTCTCTGGAAGCATCGTCCGAGCCCTCCGCCTCGTCAGCTAAGCCCTTCATCATCTCCGACAGCCACCCAATGGCATCTGGCCCGGGCTTTGGTTTCCGTTTCCTGCCCCTCGCAGGAATGGCTTTTGGCTTGACTTTCATTTCCTCATCTTCCTGATCGGAGCCGGACTCTGACTCGCTTGACAAAGGCGACAAAGATCCCTCAGATTCATGTCCTGTCGAGGCTTGTTTCGCAGGCTCATGTTTGGTGCCAGAAGAACTCGCCAAGGACGGCGATAAAGCTTTTGCAACTGCTTCGGAAGTGTGGAGAGGACACACCTAAGTTTTGACAGACTGCACTGATTGCACATCAAAGTACACCAGGAATGATGAGGGTCAGGCTGGCTGGCTAGGGGGTCGAACGCTACTACAGGATAGAATCGTCGTAGCGACTAGTAGTAGCTCAGTAGCGGCTATTGGCTGCTGGCTTGCGCTTATAATTATAAGGGTTTTGTAAACCGGTACGGTCGACAGTTGCTGGTACTTTAGCTAAAGCAACACTAAAACAACTTTGCAAAAATATGTTTCACCACAATGCGGAAACTTGAAAAGCCCGGGCTAAAACGTTGTTGAGTCAACGTTGAGCTTCTTCCTTCCAATGAACGAGCGTGATGATAGGCAGCAGTCCGAGTCCGTTTTTGCCCCTCAAAGAACCCTCCAATGAAACTCCATTTGGCAATGGACTAGTGCTCCAAGAAATCGGGAACACAATCAGTCTCATATGCGGGTCAGACTTTGTTATACTGCTTGCCATCCTGTAAGCTACATCGCAAGCCCAAACAAACTTCCAAGGCTGACAAAGAGAAACGCGACTGTTGGTCCATTGTGCTTCCAGAAGCCTGACAGACCTGTTGACAACCTCACAGAAGACATACACAGGTGTGCCCTCCGGCAGCTTGTATGGCGAATTCTTTGTTATGTGCAATGGGATTTGGGCAATCGCTGAAAAGTATGGCTCGGGGCCTGGCTCAACCTCCGGGTTCTTGTCCTTTTTAGCGTCCTTCTTCTCCTTTCTGCTCCTTGCTTCATCAGTGGGTTGGAATTTTCAGGGTTGGAATTTCAGATAGCAAAGAAATGAAACGGGTAAAGTAAAGCCTGCCTGTAAAGCTAAAGCTGGCTGAAGCTCAACCTCAACACAGAACCCGACTAAACTGCTCCCACACCACATCACATTCCGGAACTTCCTGGCCTTGACTCGGCCACTTGACCCCCCTGAAACCCTTGATTCAAACTCCCAACATTGCATAGGCATAGGCACTTGAAATTGGACGTGAGGTCTGGTGGCTGTCCACAAGTTCAAAAGTTTCTGGAGGTGCAATCAAGCCTCCCGTGCAAAAACTCATACAACTTCCTGTTTGCTGCTGCTGCTTGTATACGTAGAAACGGTACTTGTTGCTCTCCCCGGCCATTTTGGACAGGTCTAAGTCGGCTCGCCCAAAAATGCACTTCCTCCTAACGAAGGCGGCAAACAAGACAAACGAAAACTGCAAAACTGTATCACCCAGCGAGACCTCCAACCTGGAAAAATCCAATGCCACCGGTTCAACCAACCAGTTAATTAAAACACTGAACCGCATCTAGCAGGCAACTTTTGACGTTGCAGACTCTAATGGGGCAGGCAGCCTGCAACATGCGCAAATCAGCCGCAAATCTAAATCAGCGAGTGGGTCGAGTGTTTGTTCAGTGAGTGATGGGCAGACAGGAGGACAGGGCAGGAGGAGGAACAGGGAGGAAGGAAGGAGTTGGGAAAGAGAGGAGACGAAAAGAACGCTTCAAAACAGACAAGTCGAGAGAGCGCAGAGCAAAAGAGTGAAAGAGTCAAAGAGTCAAAGAGTCTTGGAGCAATGGACGAGTTCAAAGGAAAATCAACACGACATATGAAGTTATGAAGTGTATGCATGACATGACATATGAAACTTGGAAGTCTAAGTCGATTTAAGTCGATATAACATCCAAGAATTCCAAGAACTCAACAACTCCTTCGTAGGGCACCAAGATGGAGGGGTCGTCTCTTGGAATCTGGTTGCGTCAGATAAAACCTCACCAGCGTCTATCCAATTGTTCAAGCAGGTGTCCATGACAATCGACGCAAGCGGCCTTGTCCTTGACCAGTTACGCGACTTGGAATAATCCAATTCCTCTTGCCTAAGGCCAGCTCTCCCCAAGCAATACTTCAACCCAAGCCGAGCGGTACACAAATCTAAAGATGCATTCGGGCATCGGTTTCCAAAAAGCTGCATTTGTTTGTTTAGCCTCTCATTCTCCCGCACATCTGCTTTCCACATGTAGCGCATGGCTTTCAAGGTTGTGTACAAGCCGGCACCATATTTGCCACTTGTTGCTGCTTCTTCAAAGTCAGCTTTGAAAGCACGGAAGAGCTTGGAAGACTGAATGTCTGCTGTCCCAGCCTTGATTGACTTAATCAATTCATGAGACAGAGTCTTCCTTTCTTGATCGGGCAGGTCGTGCCTGATCTTGGCCATAGCCAAAAGACAGATCGGAAAAGACTTCAGCTGGCTCATAACTCTTCGGTCAAACCCACTTGCGCTCTGGAAAAGCAAGAACGCAAAGCAGTTCCAAGTAAATTGCTGGTCCAGCTGCGAGAGTTTGTCCCAATCGGGGTGCGCTCTTAGTTCGACTGCTCCATCATGGAACATAGAGGAATATTCCTCGGCAAACTGATCTCCTCTGCCATCAACCAACTGAGCCATAGTATTCCCGAATCTCTCAAGATCATCCGCTGGAATGTACTTCTTCAAGAAGAACTAGGCGGAAATGCAGAGAGTCGGGAAGTGAGACATTGACTCTGACATTAGACTTAGACACCTAGACATCATAGATTCGCGAAAGACGAAAGGACAACAACAACAACTACTACTACTACTACTACTGCTGCTGCTGCTGCTACTACTACTACTACACTACTACTCCTACTGCTACTGCTACTGACTACTGACTACTAGACTACTACTACTTGCTTATATAATACAACAATACAACGTAACAACAACAACAACCTACTACTACTACTACTACTACGACTTACTACTTCTACTACTACTACTACTAGTACTACTGCACAACCACCGCCACCACTGTCACAACCACAACCACAACAACAACCGCTGTCACAGCCACAGCGACGACGACAACGACAACGATAACCACAACAACAACAACAGCAACAGCAACAACAGCGACAAACTACCTACAAACGACAACGTTGACGACAAAAACAACAGCAGTGCAGCAAAACGACAGCATACTCAGAACATTGAACATACTCATACATACATCGACTCGGAGCATTGACCATTGACCATGGACTGACCCTGGACCATAGACCCTTGACCCTTTGGCCGTTTGACTCTTTGGCCTTGGCGTCAGCCGGTTCTGTTGCGCAAACCAGTCTATGTTTGGCGTAGTGTTTCCACACGTTGGGGTTCGGGTTTTGGTCTGGGTGGAGGTGTCAAACGACAACATAAAAGCTTCATTATATCTAAATTATACCTGGGCCTGGGCCTGGTATACCTGCTATAACTATGTGTTTGTTTGTGGCACTGCAGCCCGTTTGTGGGAAAGACCAAGAGATTCTATTGCGCAAGTGCAAAGTGTTCAGCTGAAACCGACTCAAGACTGAAGAGTGTTGTCTTGTTCCTGTTCAACACGGCAAGCAGTGGAAAGCACAGGCCCCCCAAATCCTCAAGCGCAAATATGGAGTCAGTCAGGTGAAAAAAATCCTTTTTGAGCCTGAGTAGATGAGTAGAGGAGTTGAGATCTGCAAAACACGTGTTGAACTGGATTTATAGTCACCACCACCGTCACCACCGAGTCACCACCAACCAACGCTCTTCAAAACCCAAGGAAATGTGGCAACAAACGCCTTTCAATTTGGATTTGCGTGTTTTTGTTGCATTGTATCATATCGCCCAAACATGTCTATAAGTTTATAAGTCTTATAAGTCCAAAAGTGACAAAAAGTGTATGTCAGTTCAAAATCACTAACACGCAGAACCTGAACAACATGATGATGATGATGATGACGACGATGACTCGCCTCCAATTTTATGCGCAGCAGAGTTGCGGAAAAGTGGTTTGATGTAGCCTGGGAAATCCTTTGAGCTTCGGAAAGAACCCACCACAAGCTGTCGCTGACGCATTCCAGAGTCCTCAACCTCCAGATCCCCATTTTCTTTTGGTAGCTCTGCGCCTCTTGAAACGAGATCTCATCTACCACATCGTTGGGAAGTTTTTGTTTGGACGCGTCGGCGGCTGCAACCTTGTTGGCCAGAATCTTTTTCACCACCGGCTCGACAAAACTTTGGCCTCCCACCACTTTCATCCGTGTTGTGACTTCATGAATGGAGTTCCACCGGCCTCCAATTGCCTTCGGCCACAACTTGCGCGCGCACTTGGAACCTGACAAGTCACCATGCAGATCGCACCATGTCTCATAAAACTGTTTGGACTGATCCCTGAGGCAGTTGCTACATGTTGCCAAAGAGGCAAACAGCTTGTATGGTTTTCCACGCCGTTTGAGAAGGTCATCAATGGCCTTGAGGCCACTCAGCACCAACAAGTGAACCGCGTGCTCCATGCAGTCAGATGAAAAGAGCAGTACACTGGACGCTTCGCGCGTCAGTGTCTCCCACATCTTCCTCCCCAACACTTCATTGGGTCCGCGGTCGGTGGTGATGAGGTAGATGTGAAGTGAAGAAGGTGTCCTGGGCACATGCAAAGCCACCCAACTAAAACGTCCCACGTGTCCTGACCCAACGACTGCCGAAAGTTTGGGCATTGTCAAATTTTCACCCCAGGCCCCCAGGTAGAGTTGTTTGGATGATGGACCAATGGATACCTAATACCTGACCCTAACACCACAAACGGAAAAGAGTACAGCAGCACTAGTAATCTCGACAAGTTGCTTTTTGGCACCACTGGCAAAATCCGCCACCAAACTGTAAGGGGATGGGCATCCCACACTTTGCAGCATCTTGTGACACAACCCCACAACTGATGCAGCAGTTGCGTCTCCAACTGGCTGGACATCGGCAACACGTTGGAGGGCCTGAAAACTTTTCCAGCTGAACACAAAGTTCGAACTACCAGTACTGTCTGGCAAAGAAGGAAGGTAGGCTGTGTGGAGGATCAATGCTGTAAGTTTCCGCTTCTGCCAAATTGCAGAGTTGGTCGCATCTTGTGTTAGGTAGTGAACGCACAGGCCGGAGGATGAAGCTGAAACCTCTGCTAACATCTCCTTGTGGAATGCCCTTGCAGCAGCCACAACTGCAGCTCCAGATCGGACTTCCGCTCGAGCTACTGTCCATCTGCTTGCATCGTCCAGTAAAATCAAGCCCAGATCAGCACACGCCACATTTGACAAGTTTCCTTGGAAGATATGGGTTCGTTGGCCAAGCATTCAAACATGAAATTAGCCAAAGCCCTTCTAAATAATATATAAGATATATATATATACATACGTCATACGGTGTTCTCATTCTTCTTAAGCATGGTTCCCTGGAGACAAAAACTACCTCGAACAAAACAAGAAAAAGAACGATTGGGCCAAGTCAGCCCAAGGTCTTCGAATGCTCAAAGAGACCTTGGATGGCACAGTTAAATAGCGTCCGTCTCCTGTTGGGCCTGTCCGTTGAATGGCCATCCGCTCTTCAAGCGAAGGACCAGCAGCTTCACTTTGTTGTTGAGTATCAACGACACTGCTGTTGCCACGCTTGATAGTTTTCACTTTGGCTTTTGCTGCAGCCATTGCTTTCTGACCAATGGCCCGCTTGGCTCGATTGTGCTGTTGCTGGAGGAGTTTGCATTTCTTGCGCAGACTCTGTATAGTTGCATCTTTTGCAATGCTCTTCACTTGTTCTTGCTTCAGCTCCTTGTCAAGTGATGCTACTGCAGCCAGA